AAACATTCCTACATTGTGCTCGTAGGATCTTTTTCTTTCTTTCTTTCCTTTTTCTTTTTCTTTTTTTTTTTTTTTTTTTTTTTTTTTTTNTTTTTCGAGACAGGGTTTCTCTGTGATTTTGGAGCCTGTCCTGGAACTAGCTCTTGTAGACCAGGCTGGTCTCGAACTCGCAGAGATCCGCCTGCCTCTGCCTCCCAAGTGCTGGGATTAAAGGCGTGCGCCACCACTGCCTGGCCTCGTAGGATCTTTAACAAGGTCGCCATTACTCTTGCTTGCATTAGAACCTTTTCTCACACAATAAATGCCCAATAAACAGCAACATAATGAATGGATAGATAAAAGCATTCCATGATGTCTGGTTCTTTATAAAAATAAATTCTTTCTTTTTATTGCTAACTATACTCCATGATGTGTTCAAACTCATAACCCATATTTCTTTTAACTCTGTCTTAACAACCCGGACAGAGATAGTTCAGATGATTTGCACACAGTTTTGAGTTATCTGGATCATGAAGCATTTCCTGAAGCAGATGCTTCACCTTCCTGTACTCATCTCTGAATATAAGCAACCGGTCTCCCAGGCCATATCTATACTGGAAAGAATATTCAGATAATATTTTTACAAAACAATTTCACTTCCTTTAGATACCCTACCCAACTGCTTTTGGTGCACAGGCAGGTATCAAACTCTAAGAAGAGCACAGAGGAAAATGTCATTCTGGCACAGCAAACACTCTCTCTCCTCTACTCATGAATCTTGCGAGCATTCCCAGATTCTCACCAATTCCCCAGTGGACTCAGCCTCAGTCATACATAATCTAAAAGATGAAAAAGATAGCAAAACAATGTCTCTATGTAAAATCCAATGCAAACACTCCCTGTCTCCCCAAGTGAGCAACTTGGACAACAATCTCTCAAGGGTTCACCTCAGGGGTGGCTGTCAACACCCTCTAGGAATTAGTTAAGGAGGTTATTTTTTTTTTTATCCAGCATCTTTAGAGCACAAAACCAACTTTAAAAACAAAGACGACCTCCACATTCAGCCACTGTCTTTGAAATCCCAGACAAAGAAAAAGCAGCTGGGTGTATTTTAGAAGACAGCAGTAATTTTTTAAGAAGCATGAGAAAAGGAAACACAGAGAGAGTGGGGTGAAAAGAAGGAAGGATGGAAGGGAGTGAGAAAGAAAGGGAGGAACCAAAAAGAAAGATAAAAGGAGAAAAAGGAAAGGAACCAGAAATCAAGCATTACTGAGTAAGAACAGTCTAGAGGCTCTAATATCACCCATAGCTATAAATATGGATTTAGTTTTCCAAAATCTTCCTATCTTTCTAACAAGCTTGAGTCTATTGTTTATCCTCCTTTGGTCAGTGGCCTTTGCTAGCTCATGTTTGCAATTCAAACTTCTGCTCGGGTGCCCTCTTCTTCACTCTCCAGAAAGCCTGTTTTCAGACTGGATTCCATAGGGATGGGAAACGCCTACAGCTTTTCTCACCTCTACAGCAGATTTCTTTCAGAGGAAGCAAACTGAGGTGCTTTTAATTGGCTTTGCAGAACAGTAGTTGAATGGGGCCTTAAGGAAACTGTATGTTTCCTAGCTAGCTCCAACACAAATGGCCAGAATGAAAGTCTTCCAGGGACTTCATGTGTATCCCTGCTGCTAAATCTTAAAACATGACAGCTCACAGAGCCGTACCTAATCCTTTTCCAGTCAATCTCCTGAGTTTTCTCATTTTAGATATTTAATTCCTCAAACTCCAAGTTGGAGTTTTTAAGAGCTTCGGTAAAAATGTAAAAAGAATATTCATCATAATATGATTTGAGAGATAAAGCCCAGTTTCGTACTTGGCCAGAATAAATTAAAAATAAAAACTTTTAGTATGATTTCAAAAAGATCAATCTCCTCTTGGAATTTCCTGTACCACATTTGCACATATTTGTTGAAAAGAACAGCTAGATGCTTTGCTAAGTAGTTCATTCCCATGCTGGAAGTGTTTGAAGAGAAGAGAATACCTGTCTAAGGTGCAAATGTTTAGATAGCATTTAAAAAAAAATAGTAGTTTTTGGTACCCATCTATGTGTCTGCAAGGACAATGAAACCAGTGGTTCCTGCTGGTCCTACAGTTCCTTGGGGTTATGAAATTTGTATTATTTTGCTGATGATAAGTTAGAAGCAGCAGCAGCATTTTGCTGTATTGACAAGGCCTGGCCAAGAACAACAAGAAAAAGAAATGGCATTGAAAAAAAAAAACCTGGCAAAATGTTTATAAATTCTAATCCTCTACACATGAATAAATACATCTGACGAAGTGCAGAGTCCCTGGCAAAGGCCCCCTTGACCTTTCTAATTTGAGCTCAATTGCATCTCGCAGTCGGGAAGCTCGTTGGTGCTGTCAGTGTTTGAAGCTCCAGCTTCAGCGCATTTTGTTATTTGTAAAAGTGAAATCCCAGATAATAAGTCATAATTGCTCTATTAATCACTTGTGGGGGGGTTGGAGGAAAATTGGGATTTTTAAATTGCAGTAATTGGTAACTGAAAGACGTCGTTTTTATTTTCTTATCCAGAGATTACCACATAAAACTGCTGTGGAAATTATATGTAGGTATTTTGGTTAAATGGTGAGACACATGCAATATACTTTATATATTATTTTTTTTCTGCAGGAATGAAATTTAAAACTTCAATGTAGTCACAGTGACCTTTGACCTGGAAAATACCCCAAGCCAGGCACTGGATTATAAATTATATTGTCAATGAAAGTGAGAACTCTTTGTTTCTCGAGTTGTTTCAAGTATTACACATTCATTTCCTCTTTCTACATGAATTATAATGTACAGCACACTTGGATTTTTCTTCCACTTTCCATTTTAAAAAAATCCCCTTCTCTCTTTGCTTTGTTCTTTTTGGTGTAGAAAGATCTGCTGCGGCAACATTTACCTTTCAGTGCTCAGTCTACCAGTCACATCTGCCACTCCTGTAGCATCCTGTAGGGAATCTATAGCCGGGTCTACATCCCTAGAACCTTTTATAGGAAAAACTAAACTCCCCTTTCTGTCGAGTGGGATAAACAAATGTTAGATTTTGTTCATGCAATTGAAGATGGCCAACGGATGGAGACAAGATGTGGCTTAAAATATTAAATTGAAAAATAAAGCTTAATAAACGATATCCAGAGAATTAAAGTCAGTTACACAATCAATATCTCTCCCAAATAATTCCGGTTATTACTTCCTGGGCTTTATGTCTTGGCCGTCTCTACACCCTGCAGATTGACTAAGATTGGCGAATCGTGCTTTTTATCCCCTAGGTCAGAGCCTGGTGTTCCCTAAAATATAAGATCGCTGGAGAGATTCGCTACTTCCCTGGAGATGCTTTTGGGAAGCAAGAACTTGGCTGAGCACAGAGGTTTCAATAGGAAAGGACTCATCTTAAGGACCGCACTGAAAGAGAGGCTCTGATTCTGTAGCTGCCTTCCACATAGCTGGAAAGGCGTCTGCCTAGGCTGCCGGGCAATGCTTCTGTCTAGGTGGGACAATCTGTGAAGCCACAATGCACAGCTCATCCTGGTTTTCTGGTGCAAACAAAACATTCTCATCGTCTTTAGGCTTATAAAGAGATCAAAAGCCACATACAACTGGCTCGAAAAACAAACGCTATCTGGTGGGCAAGCAGAGCCTGCTACAATCAACGCCCCCAACATGCACCCAGCATTTTGACCCTCCTTGGTCACCTCCCCCTAAATAATTCCATATTGTGCTTGACATTGCTAGCTTACAGCAATCATGGGAAGACTATCTTTTCATCTTTGATACTGTGAGTGAGTGATGTATGAACTGCAAGAGCGGCCTACGATTGGTGCTAATCATTAAGTTGTTACAGTCTCCCTGAGCTCCTCGCCAGGAGGCTTAAGTCGGTGCTCTGAGCACTGTCTAAAATTGTATGACAGTGTTAAACAGTCGGTGCTGCAATAGTCTTCAGAATTGTAAGTGTACTTATTCAATAAATATGGCAAATAATCACGTGGTGTGACTTCGGACTCATGATCATAGCAGCAGCACAGGTTCTGCATTCAGTGTGCAGAAGAAAAAGTAGTTTTCCATGAATATACATGCAATATCCTAAGGTTTTGTTAAAAAAAAAACACAAAAGGTAGATTTCAAAAACAATTTCACGAATAAGAAAAGCTACATTTCCAGTTCAAGTTCACAATAGAAAGGTAAAATTTTCCTCCAAACTAAAAAAGGAAATCAAAAATTAATTCATTAATCTGCCGTACACTCACTATGAAAACCTAAGCAACTTGACGATTCTAACCAATACACACAAGCCATGAAATAGTTGCTGAGTTTCAATGAATTGACCTAAAATCTTGTCCCGACCTAGCCCCAAATGTCCAAGTGACTAGAAATGAAGTCTATGGAGGGATTAGCAATTTGTACTGCATGTTAGGTGTGCCATGTGGACCTCTGATCTTTTAGATTCAAGTTCTGGTCCTAGGTCTCCTGCAGTGCAGCTGGATGGCAACAGTGGAGTTTTCAACCTTCAGGAGATCTCTTATCACTCTCAGGAAGAAAGGACATGATCGCAACCTTAGAAGAAAACATTTTCAAATGATGAAAAAAAAAAGCCTATGATTGTTTTAAAAATGGTTTTGCTTTTCTGACAGTAACAGGGAATTTCAAAACTTTTAAAAGTTTAATTTCACATTAGATGATTCAGTGCTCATTTGATTGGCTCAGTAGACAAAACATTCTTCTTTCCAAGTGTTTTCACTGCTCAGTTTTTGACTGTCTGAATAACTTGACTGGCAAGAATGCTGTGTGGACACACTACCAGGGAAGACAGCATGTCACACCAAAGCACAGAAACTTCTGGTGCCTACGTCCTTCATGGTGAAAGCTTCGTAGAACATTCTTCTTTCTTAGATTAAACAATCAACTTTAAAACACACTTGCATGTGTCCTCCTCCTCTTACCCCTGATCTGTACCTGCTGTTCTTACCTCATTTCCTAGAAGGGCGTTTATGCAGGCTTCAGATGCGTCACAGATGGCTGTCAGATCGTGGCCTCCCTCTAGAGCCAAGGCCACACGTCCGTCGGCCAATGTCATCAGCTGCTTTGTCAAGTGACCAAAGCCTACCATAAAAAAGAGAACATTTCAAAGCATTAAATGAAGGGAAAGTACTCGTAGGTAACAGTGGTTGAGCGTTTACTCTGTCAGAGTTCCTGTTCAGCATTCTCAGCACTTTTTAGTGGCTCCTCATGTGACCCCCATCTTCTTTCCTCAGTGTTACAGACAAGGGCTTGAGTGCTTAAGACCCCACAGATAAGAACTGTTACAAGACTTGAGTTTTTCACCTGTCTCCTCACCCAGCAGGATGTGTAACCATCTGGTGACAAATTTGAAGAGGCTCTAAAAGTAACAAGTGGTAAAGTGCTTGACTAGGCTACATTCCCTTCCCCAGAGATGTGCACACGTGGGTGTACAAACACACACCGATCATGTTAACAACGTAACCCATCCCATTTGTTTGTCACAGGCTCCTTGTCTACATCATTAATCATTATTATAAAAGGAAAGTTAGTAAACTTGACGATTACACATCGTTCATTTTTTATAGTCTTTTGCTATAAAATCTCGATAAATGCAAATATATAAATAACATCTATACATTAATAAGCTACGAATGAACTGACAGCAATTTCACTTGCATCTCAAGGAAAATAGTGTTAGCCCTTCTGTCGAAAGCCTGTATGTGCCGTTCTCCAGTAGCGTCGGTTCCCTCCATTTGGGAATGAGGAGTCTGAGTTGCTTTTTAAATTCTATTGTTTTCCTTTGTTTAATTTGCTTGCCTTCAACCCTTACAAAAGCAGTTTCATATGTGTGCAGCTTGCTCTCCTTGCCTCGTGAATCTTGCTTTCTCTACTCTGTGCATGCATGAAGCTACAACTCTCTGCTGTCTAGTAGGCAATCTCATATCTACAGAATTGACTCGCCCAGTTTTCTATCTATAGATATTCGGTGGTGTTGTTACAAAACTTTTAAGGGTTTTCGTTTTTGTTCTTGTTATTGTTGCAACCAACATTGCCAAGATTATCCTATGAAGGTCTTCTGTTGCACATATGTAAGAATGGAATGAAGTTGTGAGTTAAAACCATTAAGTAATGCCAGATTACTTCCAAAGGTCCATCAGTAGCCCCACACTGAACAGCAGTGCCCACGAGACTTCCAGTTCTGCTCTACCACACCCTTACCAGCCTGCGGTGGGATTGCTGAGCAGGTGGACGACAGTGTCTTATTATGATGGTTTCATTAAGTGTAAGAGAGGAGCTTTCCCTTTCTAGTTTGAGCTGAAGTTCCTATTTAAATAGTTGTAGAATTTGGTTTCATTTTTCCTCTACACGAACTGGGTTTTTTCCCTAACATTTGGGAATATTGTGAGTTAGAGGCATTCACCAGCATTTCTGTCACGAAGCCATCTTTGCACGTGTGACATAAAATAAGCTTTCCTCTGATGCATTATTTTTCTGTGTGCATTATTATTCGTCTTGCCAATATTTTCTTAGGGTGTTTCGATCTACGTTCACAAATGGGGTTATTCTTTAATTTTCCATTCTTGTGCTGTTATGATTGTAGTGAAGCTAGAGAGTCCTGCCTTTGTTATCTGGTCTAGAATGTTGAATAAATATTTCCTCTAATTTCACTTAGGCTTTGACTTCTCTATGACAAAGGTTTTTGACTATTAATTCAATTTTTTGAAGGATTATAGAACTATTCGTGCTATTTCTTTCTCAACTATATTTTTCTATGAATTCATTCAATCATTTGCATTCTCAAATTTATTGAAAATTTTTTCATTTTTATCTTTTATTATTTCCAACTCCAATGAGATGTATGTAAACTTTGTCACCAATATCTCTTAAATTCTTTCATATTTTCCACTTAGATTTCTGAGCAATATTTTCTTTTTTTACATAGATTTTTTTTCTTCAGAGCTATCTTTTAAACTTTTTCTTTCAGAAATTTCCAACCTGTTGTTTAGAACCATTATATTTATTTATTTATTTGGTTTTTCAAGACAGGGTTTCTCTGTAGCTTTGGAGCCTATTCCTGAACTAGTTCTTGTAGACCAGGCTGGCCTCGAACTCACAGAGATCCACCTGCCTCTGCCTCCCCAGTGCTGGGATTAAAGGTGTGCACCACCACCGCCCGGCCCCATTATTAACTTTAAGAGATTATATTGTTTAATTGCAGCATCTCTATTTGTTTATATTTCAAAATTTCCCAGTTATTTTTATAGATTTCTGTGCTTGTGTCTTCTATGCATTCACTGTATTTCCTTCAGCATGTTTTACTTGCTGCACCTTGTATTTAAATTCTTTCATATTAGTTGGCTCTTCCTTTTTTGTCTTGATTCATCTCCAGTTTCTTTTAGTTTCTTACTTCTGTGTTGTTTTCTTTTGATCTTATTTTTTGTCTATCAAGTTCACATAGAGTTGATATATGAGAAATCTTTGAAGCCTGGCGCAAGAGACTGAGCGTCTGTGACCACATTCCCACTCTCCTCAAGTGGATATGGTAGAATCCTAACTGCTGAGGGGATGGTACCCACAGGTGGCCTTTTGGTGAGTAGGTGATAACCTCATGATTGAGATTAGGGTCTTTAAGAAAAGGGAACTCCAAAGAATACTCTAAACATTTGGGTTTTTTTCTCTGTTTGGTTTCCTGGCAAGGAGGCCACTAGAAGCTGTAAGTATGGAACCGTTCACTGAAACTAACTGTACTGGTTCTCTGCTATAGGTTTGGCAATGGTGACGGAAATAATTCAGTTGTTTCTAATCCATTGTTCTATTATACTTTATCATATCAAACTTAACAAGGATGTTTTATTGAATGTAGCATCTGTCTTTCAAGCCCAGTAGAGTGCAGTTTAGTGTCTTCTGCTAAAAGCTTAAGATACCATCATCTAGGTCCATTTTACCATCTTGGATTCAAGGGTTGATTTAGGATTTTGATTCTGCAGAAACATGGGCCAGAAATTTGATCACATTCATGAGGAAGTTGCTTGATTTTTTTTCCCACCTCTTTGCTTTCTCTTCTGGCTTTCTTTTCTTCTCTTGCTAATGATAAACCAAGTAGGCTGACCATCTTTCACCTGCGGTTTTTCTCTTTTGAGTTGGCATTTTGTTGTTCTTGGGCTTCAATCTCTCCCCCATTATAGAATCATGCTTTGACTGTTCAAGCATCCAAGAAAAAGTGTTCAAAAAAATGAAGATTTGGGGACAAATACTAACTAACTAAGATCTCTAGTATTTGTTCAACTTCCTTCAGCTCCTCATACGTCATCAATAAATCTGGATGTACATTTTTATAATTACCTTAATGTTTTAAGATATATTAAGTCAAAGTATTAGAAGACACATGCTCTTTCATGTTGCCAAATTGGAGCATTCTTGTTCAATATTTTTAAACTCATCATATCATATAAACCTCTCCACTCGAGGAATAACTGCACAGTAAATACATATAAACAAAAGAATTTTTTCAGGGTGAGTTTTGTTTTAGATTTTCTGAACTTACAGAGAGAATACTTAATTTTAAACCAAATACACTTTAATAATTAATAAATTCTATTTTCCAGAGTAGTTTGAAAGTTACGAAGATACTGATCAGGAAGTACAGATCATAACCCATATTCCCTTCCTCTTCCGGTTACTAGTTCACACCAGTATTTTATATTCGCTATAGTTTCCAAGTGAATAATAATGTATTCTCCTGAACTGAAGTCTACAGTCATGCTTCGCACTTTGTGTCTTATGAGTCTGTGGAGTCTGACAAAGGCAGAATGCGATAGGTCCACTATCCTAATATCACAAGAATTGTGGCAACGGCCCTAAGAAGCCCGTTTGCTCGACCTCGTCAGCCCCTCTTTCTGCTCAGCTTTTGCTAACCAACAGTCTTCCCACTCTTCAGTTTTGTCACCTGCTTGGTGCTTTCTCAAACTCAAAATTTTAGTTTATTTGATTACTCTTTCTAAATCAGAGAGGACATGGTTCCCTGTCCTCTCACTGATACAGCACACATCTGGAACACTTGTGCATGCCTGCACATACCAGACTGACACTGCAAGAATCAGTCTGAACACAGAGCGCATGATCTAAAGACATGTCTGGGCTGCTTTCCATCCAACACGTGCTTTTCTCTGAAGAATGACAGTCTCTTACATGAAAAGAAACCTCTGGACTGTAGTTGGTAAAACAAAGCTAGAACCAATGGGATGGTCAAGTAAAAAGAACACAAAGCTTCGCAAAGTGGCTTCCGTGTCAGAACAACAACAACAAAACATAATAAACAACATCGTTTTATGTTCTGGAATGAACTTGAGCCTTCACCCAATCAACATCTGTAGAGTTTTTGGTTGTGGTCTAACATTTGATCTCAGCTATGACCCCTATGAGATGGCTTCCCCACAACTCCCCTAAAGCACTGTTAGGCCAGTCTTAACCACTTAACTACTATTCAGATGGAAGTCAAGACAGTCACCTTCTACATGTCCTATATTCTTTTGTGGCTGGAAAATCATGTTTAACAGGACACGGAAAGCAGGCAACAGCAGCTTCCTGGCTGTCCGTACCCCTCACTGCCTGTGGAGATGCGGATCATTTCACACTGGCCTCTTCACATGAGGCTGATGGCAGCGAACGCCATTGTTACCCAGGGAGTAGGAACGGAGGAGAGACGCTCAGAAAACAGGAGATGCGAGGTGCTCAGAAGTGTCCTCGCCCCAGCCAGCATCAACAACATGGGGAAACAGAGAAGATCCCAGACAAGGCCACAGGTAATGTTAAGTATTCTAAAGGGCTTCTTCTGTAACTTATCCAGGGCTATAGTGGCCGTTTTCATGATGGAATTCTAACGCAAGCCCACGTACCATGCATTTCATACTGATTACTCCTGGAAATGCAGTGACGAAGGTCTCATTGGCAAATCAAATTGTGTGTATTTCTCCAGTGAGGAAAGAGGAATCCTAGATTGATTCAAGCTTAATTTTACCCTTGAGAATAAAAGAAATGTCTCATAAAATGCCAAATTTAGACTGGATAGTAAAAAGTCGGAGGGAATAGTGGAATGGGGCTAATCTTTGATCTCGCTCCAAATTCCT